TGTAAACGTCGATTTATTTTAACCTTCAGGTTAAACATTGTCGGTCCTCAATATGTGAATTATAGCATTTAGTTTGAAATCATTCCTTGAATCGAATTGAAGACAGCCTAACTAGATCTGCACTTTGTCTGGTATTAACCTCTGTTACTCAAGTACTAGAGAAATGTCTGAAATGATAGTTTGAGTTAGAGATAATTATTGATGCAAGGTGTGATAAAAGGGCTAGAATTTCTTCACACAATTCGTCAAATTGTATTTTATTCTAATTATAATGCATATAAAGTAACATCAAAGCCAGTGCAACAGATGAGCAGGCACCAACAATTTGCTTGTATCTGAGGGTTATGGGAAATCATTTATAACTTATCCTTTGCAACATATGGTTTACTGTAAATCTTATAAAGTATATTAATTACGTAGTTTTGCGTGACAGGATAAAAGGGAATATTTTGAGGTTACTTCGAGAAGTTTATAAGAAGGAAATTCATAGTGAATATTAGTGATGACAAAAGCAGGGATTCATGTCTGTTCATATCAATATGAGTTCCGGAAAAAAACACAACAAAATTAACGCTTAACTGTGGAATTTTAAAGTTTTAATACCATATCTAATTTTCATTTTAAAGCCAAACAAAGATTATATATGATACTGAAGTTATATATATATATATATATATATATATATATATATATATATATATATATATATATATATATATATATGTATGTATGTATTTATAACTACAGACACACACACATATATATATATATATATATATATATATATATGTCTAAACACACATACATACATATATATATATATATATTTATTGTCTGTATGAGCTTATATATATATATATATATATATATATATATATATATATATATATATATATATATATATATATCATAAATGTTAATCAGGAACAAAACAATAACTCACTTATTATTTATATTATTTACATTCTTTGAACTGTTGTCCTCATCTTTTTTTACCATATTCACAATGCCTCATCTGAGAAATATAGACAAATACACAAGTATTATTAAATTCAACAGAAAATGTCTGTCTAATTTTTTTTTCTGATTTTCTACTCTACGAATGTTGATGTATTATAATGTATATTCTTATCATATTTGTTGATAGGCTGTTTCAGTCATTCACAAGAACTGGATTATGCCCATACATGGTTGGTGATGGCATTGAAATCAATTCAAATAACCTAATCTATAAAGATGCGTATTTGAATTAATTTGAATTCTAGCAGTTTTTTGTTTGCTTTGTTTTATAAATATGACAAGATTTAGCAAAACATCTATATAATGCACGAGACGGTCGAATGCATTTGAAAAAAAAAAATTAACAGAACATGGCGTTTGGACAATTTCTCCATATTTTAAATACCTTTTGATAATCTTTGGCTATACAATACCATATTAGGAAAATATAAAAAAATAGACAGACGTTGTTGGCCGAATTGAACAAACTTTTAAACCAAATACACACAGACACACACGTGTGTGTGCGTTTGAGTCTGTTTGTTGTAATTCATCGAATCTATATTGGCCTAAATACAAGATAATACGCTCCCTTAACAAAGATGGTAATTTACCCTCAAGATATTCTTTGTGGTGTAATCGATAATGCTTCGCAAAGAGAAATCGGAGAAGCGAATTCGAATTCCACTCGAGTCCCTTACGTTCACTTATGCGCAAATAAACTTGCGAAAAATATGAATCTGTCACTTCACTCCCAGCTCTGCGTTAAACAGCAGGGCAAACTGGGTTCTCTAGCCTTTGTTGACAACCAGTCTATCAGAGAAAGGAACGACAACCTACTGGGAGAAACATTTCTGCCTAATCAATCATGAATTGAAAAAGACATGATCTCCCTAACATCAATTACGTATGACACTTAAATTATTGGCTGATTTGCCATCGGGACGAAAATATACCGTATATGTCCAAGGCGAGCTTTTAACCTTAAAAATCACGCCTCAAAAATAGGGGGAGGTCATATAATCAGGTATAAAATATGAACCTTAAATCCTTTGGTTTATGGTAAATTGTTAGTGTGATGTTGAACAGAAACACAACTGGATGTGTGTATGTGAATAAGCCGTTTAAAGATCGCATTCGATAACAGTGGGGTGATTAGGTGGTTAGCAGAAAAAAACATTCAGGTTACCGTAATAATCTCCCGAAAACACAGAACCTACTCATGACGTATTGTAAATTGTAGTAGTTAATTGAACATATTTCCACTTTGTTTTTTTGTGTTAGAATTTAAGTGAAAAGAAAGTATATGCTTACTGAATTTATTTAATCAATTCAATACAATACATTTTAAAATATAATATATATTGGGGGGGTCGTCTTGCATCCCGAAACCTACATTTTAACTTGAAAATTGTTGGAACGTCTTATACGCCCAGCCAACTTGTACTACGGTAATATTCAAAATAACAACGAGTATAATTTCGATTATTCCAGATCGACGTCCACGTCTGTTCTAAAGTTTATATTTTGCATGCCTTTTAAGCGACCAAATATTTTAAGCGACCAAAGAAATAAACGATCTGAAAATTTAAACAATTTATCATATATATATATATATATATATATATATATATAGAGAGAGAGAGAGAGAGATATAGATATATTTATCATATATATTTATATATATATATATATATATATATATATATATATATATATATATATATATATATGTATGTGTGTATGTATATTCAAACGGTAAATATGCATAGAAAAATTGTTTTGTTTTACCTCAGATGGTTTTCATATTTACTGTGTTGCCCAACATGAGAATGAATGAAATATTGTGATATTCTCAATTAAACCTATACGTAATATTATCGCCTAAACATATGGCAAGTTAACGATCTAGAGTTTTCAAAATAAAGTAAAATTTGTAAGGAAAGAAATGCTTCACATCTGTTAAATTATTCTCGAAATTTCTAACGAGATGAATGGTATGAAAAATGATTATCACCCAAAGGAACCGTGTGGCAATGTTGGGATATGAGCCAAATTCAAAGAAGGACGAATGGTAGACTTATAAATGTGTAAGATAGATTCTTGTGAGAAAAATTGTCTAGCACGACAAGTAAATCACCTTTCCTAGCAGCAAACCGCGCAATTGATTCAACATAACCTTCCAACATCATGTCAGCGGAAAACGTTAAATTGATAAGATTGATGTTGTTCATTAAGGGTTTTTTTTTCATTTCCGAAATATATGTTGATGACCTATAAGTACTTGAAGAATTTTGTTTCATTGGCATATGTTGTAAGTATTTAGAGCTGGTACCATCATCCCCTATCAAGTGTTCCAAGAAATAAGACTCAAATTAAAGTTTTCTCAAAACGCCAACTATGATCTCGAATCTGGATGAAAGCTGTGATTGTACCTATATTGAATCATTCATGAAGATTCGGTGTTTGGATTTTGTCGACATTAAATTCTTCAAACACCTCAGTGGATGGCTAATTTTTAGCAAATTTCATATAAGAGATTGCACATAGACTAGACTGCTGTAGTTTTGCCCAACACTGCAAGTTGCGAGAAAACAAAAACCTGGAAACTCGTGTCTTGTTCTTAAATAACCTTCATATATGGTCAAACACATCCGGAAATATCTAAACTATTTTAATGGTTAAAAAACGGTTTGAGCAAGTGAATCTCGGTGAAGGCTACAGTTCTTCGAACCTCGTGTACTGGATCTACATAATCTCAAAGAACTGCACCAAATATCAGAAGCCACGTGAATTGAGGAATATCAACAGTAGCATCAGCTGAACTGGATATTACATGTAACTCAAAGTGAAAATAATGGCAAATTCAAGATGTTGTCATTACACACTACATCACATAAAATGTTAGGAAGGAAACGGCCATCAATACTGGGAAGCATGATAACAGATATTGGGCTTGAGAAACATATTTTCGTGAAAAAAATTGTTTTGAGAGAAAGTTTCTATAAGTCTTAATTAAAAGTAGTTCTGGCTGCACAGTCAATGAATGCCGAATGTTTCCTTGTAAGGAAACAGCTATATTAACATTACTTTTTTTAAAAACTAATCTGTTAAGTTATTTAAAACTCTACAAAAACAAGTCATTCAAAACAAAATACAAAAGACAGGAAAGAAATAGTGACAAAATTGTAATTCACGTAATCAACTGCAACTATTATCATATCTAGTAAATATACGTTACAAATATATTTATTTTACTTACATCGTGTGTTATTTTGTTAAGTGACATCATAAAAAGGCACCTGTAATATTGGCTAGACTAATGTGATTAATGGGTCATACAGAAATAAGAAAGATATTAGGAATAGTAAAAGAGGCCTTCCAAAAACTAAGTAAAGTATAAAGACAGGAATAATTTCATTAGAAACAAAGAAATGCGTTCTGAGATTGTATATGGTATGCAATCTCTTATACGACAATGAATGATGGACACATTTTTCATATATAAAGGAGGACCATGAGGTTACATGCGATTTTACAGATGAATGCTTAGAAAACTAAGAAGAAGTTTGATGATAAAGAAACAAAAAGGAAATATATACCTACAATCGAAGAAGACAGTTGATATTTCTGGAACACATGATTAGAACCTCGCAAACGGGAAATATACAGGAAATAATGAAGGCACTAAAAGCAGAAGAAACTGCGGTAGCCTACTTAACGAGTTTGTGTGAATGGATGAACCAGAAGTAGAAATTTGATTCGTTTTTTACGGGTTACCAACAATTTGCAGGTTATTTAATGCCAGAAAATATTTTTTGATTGTAACATTTTTCTTTAAATAATGATTTAATGATACAAGTCTTATTAATTAACTCAAGGGTGGATTCATATATTTTGCATTGGTATTTGTGCGTAAGTGACTATAACGAAGCGAAATGGGGTTGGAACAAGGTTAACAATTCCGAGCCATTATCCTTTACCCTAAACGCACATCAAAGCTTACAGCAACTAGTATTCCAAAGGGGTCACCCACCTAAGTACTGGCCAGGCTTAACTTCGGCAATCGTACGAGAACCGGTGTTTCAATGTGATATGGCCGTAAGCCAGCGGTAGATGTGGGGGTGTAAATCAGTAAAAACATTAATTAAGGTAACAAATGACAGGTGATAGAGCTCAATGATAGCTTATGTCTTGAAATAATTGGATACGTTAAAAAAGAACATGAAGTTAAATTTATAACGATAATTGTTTCTTTATAGTTACCAAAATAAATCTCTAGTTAAATTAAAAAAAATATAGCAATCGGCGACACCCTCAATTTAACACTAAAATTTAATAAAAATCTAAAGCGAACACCAGTCTTCTTTATCCGTAGTGAAGATGTTCTAAGTCCTTAAACCAATGCCTGTAACTTGTGTGAGGACAGAACTTTGAGTATATTACAGGTACGGAAAATTTTCCAGCGTTTTTCATATTATAAAACTGTTTTCAATATTATGTCTAGCGTTCAAGAAGGAAGTAAATTCTTCACACACCAAATGGTATTCTTTACTATATATAAGGAGTTACGATAAACTTTAATTTATAAATGAGTCCCCATAACAAAAAGTAATAAAATCGAACAATTAAAATATTATGGTAATTTTTGTATGGTCGAAAGTATATGGTAACTAAATGGTATGTGACGGAATGAAAATTAATTGTTAACTTCGATTACACCAATCTCAGTATGGTGTTATTACAAGACATGTTTATATGCATCTCTAGCGTCTTGTCTGGGTCATGAACCCAAAATTAGAGAGCAATAATAAAAAAATGTAATAGCCCTAGAGATCACGAGAATAATAACGGAACGAGAACAAGCTGCACCCGTAAATTATATAGAAGCCCCATCTCTTTATATACTGAAGCCACTGGAAGAAGACAATGGCCGAAACGTTGTAAGGATATAGGTAAATAGATAAGGATATTAGTCTGAATGCAAATATTTTTTTTCTCCATATAAATTCGAGGAACGATTTCATTTTAAGTTTATAGAAATTTCTTTTCCTTTTTAATTTATTAGCAATGCAAGATGTCTGGATATATTTGAATTAAGCTGTACATTTTCACATTTATGTAGAAAATTTTCGGGTTGTAAATCAGTCAGCCAAAAACGTACAAAAAATTTGAAAATGAAACTCAGACACTAGAAAACAACGATATATCTACAATCAATTTGTCCGACAAAACAACCTATACAAAAGAAGCATAATTGTATATAAAAAAGAAAATATTTCTTGAAAATATAGACAAATCATAGTAATAGCATCACAGCCAATTGAGTTTTAAGTGTTCCCTGTAAAATGTTATGTCAAACACCAAACTGATTATTTCATGTAATTTTTACGACTTCGTTTAGTATGATTTGAAGCTAGTTTTATTTACTAGCTTTAGACTTGAAACGATGTAATTAATGGACCACACATGTTTTTCGAATTATATATTATTTGTCAGCAACTTTATCTTCAAGCGGACCATTCCTAATGAGACAGGCTGCCGAAATTGAAACTTTTAAATTCCTTCAGCATTAAAATATTCTCTACCAGAAAATTACTTAAATGGGAAAAGTAGTTAAAAACACATCGATCATGGCTGCAGATGCATGCCGGTGAAACGTAAATACATTTGTGTATACATACATACAAATTTACTTATACATACATACACACACACACATATATATATATATATATATATATATATATATATATATATATATATATATATATATATATATTTACTTTATTAATTTAATATGTGTGTATGCGCTTGGAATTACATCCATGACAAAAATCTCTTTATGTTTTGTTTATATATATATATATATATATATATATATATATATATATATATATATATATATATATATATATATATATATATATATATAACCGGAAATGTGTATAAGGAATGAAAACTATTTATACGCACACATTTTAAAATATATTTTCCCTTTCAAATTGATGTTTTTATCAAATATATGAGACGTGTTCGAAATATAAGCTGGGTGTCTTGAGAAAATATTTGAGGTAATATTTTTAAAAAAAATTATAGTTACATTATCCTTATTCCTTTGTCTGTAAATAAATTCTTTTAAGATTTATCGATGCTAGTTACGCATATTCCATCAATTATAGATACAAACAAATATATTTTAAATATATATATGAGAATTGTTGCAAAAAAAATGTCGCAAATTAAGTGTAATCAAGTTTTTCCATTCTTCTACTAATTTATCTGCGTGTACTAAAGCCTCCCTCAATACACATACATAGAAAATCATTCTCTCTCTCTTTCTCTCTCTCTTTCTCTCTCTCTCTCACATACAAATATATATGGGAAGATGAAAAGAGTTCTTAGAAAAATGAACCGAGTGAGTTTTCTGACTTGCTGTAACTTCGTAATCACAATTACACTCATCCAACTCTTTACAAATGTACTGCACTGCTCCTAGATTGACACCCAAACACTGAAAATGTTGGTATTGGAGACTCAGACGCAATAGAGCATGTCGTTTTCCTTCTTTTTTTTTCACAGATGGTGCTGAATGAACATCCTATACCGTGCAGTCAACATAACATATCAAGGATCAACAATGTGCATGTGTAACACAGAAGTTATAAAATGCCTACAATTTAACAATCACTCTACTTATACATATGCTAACTACATATATACATACACAGATGCATATATATATATATATATATATATATATATATATATATATATATATATATATATATATATATATAATTAATTAATTAATTAATCCCTTCCTGTCAATAATGCATCTATTTCTTAAATAAATATATAATCAATGAGTAGACTGCCTATTATTTAAAATACTGTTATTATGCACAACAAAGCTAAAATGCTTTGTTGTGCATAACATAGTAACATATTTTCTTTTCTATGCATTTAATTAGGGTAAAAAGCTTTTATTTTGCAAGACTTTATTTCTTTTTTAATATGTTCTTCCATTGTGATGCATTTAATTCAGTGAAAAATATGTAGGTACAATAATTATACAGAACCAAATATAAAAATGTTTTATGTTTAACAACAATTATTTATTTTTATATAATCTCTTTCTTTCTTTAATGCCCATAATTCGAGGGATAAGCATCAATGTTCATACTTTTTCAAAAACGTTTATTTTAAATAACATATATTTACTTTTCAATACACTTTCCTCGTAAATGCACTTTATTCGGAAGTACGTCTCGATGTCTATGCTCTCATATTAAAGAAAAATTATTTTACACCAAAATATTTATTTTTCAACATAAATAGTTTCCATTAAATAAAACTTCAAATTGCTTCAAAAAGTTCACAACGAACTTTATAAATATTGACTACAATTATTTATTTTTAAATATAATAGTTTTTGCTTATCAATTTAAATATTTCCGATATAAATATATACGTATTTCCATAAATTTCTCCCCAATATCAAAAAATAATTCATTTCCCGAGAAATATGTACATTTAACAATAATTTCATCCCATTCAGTACAGGTAAGTAAATAAAAAATATCTGTATCTGAATTTACAGAAAGTATTTTTCACACTACAAATAAAAATTTGTGGGTGCGCGCACGCACGCACACACACACACACACACACACACACACACACAATATATATATATATATATATATATATATATATATATATATATATATATGGATAAAAGACAAGAGAGAAAACTATTCTGAGTCGACGCACTGCGTCGTCTAAGCAACTTAATCAAGAGAAAAGTTTTTATTCATTTTTTTCCTTTACACATACACTGTCTGAAAATAATTTACACGGGCTCTCGCTCTTTCCCTCTTTCTTTCTCTCTCTCTCTCTCACACACACCCACACACACTCACACACACACACACACAGATATTCATACTATTTATTTATTAGTTTTAATCCTTTCACATCCACGACTTAATTTCTTGGTGGCTGCAGAAAAATTGCAAAATTTTCTTTCAGACATTTTTTTATTTAACCAATTTCAATATCATTTGAGACCATCTTCTGAGGTTGCACATGTTTCGATGAGTTATGCATTAACAGCGTAAATTCAAAATTTATTTTTACCGTATGTGTTTTTTTAAAGATTTTTTAATTGTAGTATTTTCATTTAATATTTTAAATATAACATTTTGCTACTACAAACAATTAAGAACTCTGTTGCTATACTCGTAGTTGAGTTTATTTATTTTTGTACGTAATTCTCTTATATAAAGTGCTACTAAATTTTAAGGTTTTGATCATTATTATCTCGATGAAAAACTGATGTATTTTCGACTAATAACTGTCTAAACTGTGAATGAGAACATGATTGTTGCTTTGAATATTCTGAGATTGGACTATGATCATTCAAGTGAAACATAAGCCTTCTCGTCATCGTCGCTGTTATAAAACCAACATACGTATTAACATTTTTATCAGAGATGCACTCGCCCAAAGGAAATTTAAATTGTTATACGATACTAGTCATTATTAAGACGATAGTTGACGGAGATGATTTATTATATATGACTAGGTTGGTTGTATTAAATTTAGTGTAGTATATAATTAATTTTATATTTTTACTTGGATCAATGGGGGATATATTGGTGTTTATGAAAATATCTCTCAACATATATATATATATATATATATATATATATATATATATATATATATATATATACACACATACACACACACACACACACACATATATATATATATATATATGTGTCTGTGTGTGTGTGAGAGTGTGTGAGTGTGTGTATCTATGTGTATATATATATATATATATATATATATATATATATATATATACCTAGTGAGTAGAGACAAACCTACCTAGGTTTCACCTAAACGGATCGTCAGGCCAAACTTTCCCTGACGATCCCTTTAGGTGAAACCTAGGTAGGTTTGTCTGGCTCACTAGGTGTATCTAGGTCTGCTCTACGGTTGTATTGAGCTCTTTTGTTAGTTAGTTGTTACTCGTATCGGGGTTTTTCTTTGGGCTTCAGACCTGCATCTGTGCGATTTTTTTGTCGGCAGAAG